GCACATTGCCCCACCCCACCAACTAAGGACTTCAGTGGAACCCCCTATGCAGCCATGAAGCGAGCGGGGGGGGCGTCCGCTGTGGCAGGCGGGGGGGGGGGGGGGGACCGCGCGCTGCCTCCTTCTCCCACCTACTCCTCTCCTCCTCTTTCCCTCCCCCTCCTCCGCCTCCTCCTATCCTCCTCCTCCTCCTCCTGCCCCCCTCCCCTTCCTCCCCCTCCTCACCCTCCTTCCCCTACTCGCCCTGCCCCTCGCCTGAGCGAGTCCGAGTAACAGTGGCGTTCTTAATATAGTCGCCCTGCGTGGTGCCCCTTTACACGGGGCGGCGGATTTTCGTTGCGACGCTCCACCAGCGGGAACGCATCCTTGTCGGCCAGTTCCACGCCCGAATGATGTGCCGATGCGGTTGCCGCGGCGCCCACACTGTGCAAGCTCTGTTTGATAAGATTGCGTTCGACTTTCGAACTGCAGCCCTCGGGGAGTGGCCCAGATTCGACAGCGGGGGGAATCCGTGGCCCCCGACAAGTTGGAGGGCTCGTGTTGCAACCAAGCCGTTGTTTCCATCAAGACACGGCTATGGAAATTGCAGGGTCGCCCTGGTCGAAGTTGCAGCTGACATGGACGAGCTGGGAAAAAGTTTCGGCCTCCCCGATTACAGAAGCAATTATGGGTGCATTGCCTGTTTCCAACACAATAATCTTTTTAGTGATTTGAATGCGCCACTGCGCAAGAGGAAACACCAGTGGCTGATTGACACAGCCGAATCTTCTTTTTCGTTTCACAGCGTTACACACGACACAGTCCAGGTCTTGAGAGACAACTGCAAGGCGCGAAAAAAGCAAGGAGGCATCATTGTGCAACGTCAGATGCGAGCTGCTTTCCCGTCGTTGCGACGTGGCGACCGCATCGAGCCTTCGCTGCCAAAGTACCCCGACGTGTGGCACCTGGAATCCGTCGATACGTACCCTGTCGAGCGTCGGGAATTCCTAGTGTTCAGACGACCCAAAAACAGCATCCTGTTTGTGAGCAGGTTGTTCCGCGTCAGTGGCATCCAAGAGGGGGTTCCAGGACTTCGGCTAGAGCATTTCCTATTGGATACTATGCACGTCTGCGAGCTCGGAATGTTGCATTATTACCACGGTGCTACAATCTGGGCTCTGACAGACGCTGGATTTTTTGGTGATTTCACGGAGGACGATTTTTCACATGTAGACGCTGCCTTGCACGACATGTACATGCATTGGTGGAAGCAGCAGGGTCGCATTCAAAACGACAAGGTCCTTGGTTTGTGCATGGAGGCGCGCGGCGGCAGGGAACACCCATTTCTGAAACTCAAGGCTGGCAAGACACGCTCACTCCTCGGCTTCGTCGTGCATCTCCTGAAGAATGCTGGAGGGCGGGCCCTGTTGGATGGCGCTGCAGATGGCGCAGATGGAACTAAACTGCAAACCTTCGGCGAAGGCATGCTTGAGTTTTATGGTATATGTAAAAGCCAGCCTCGTCGGATGGACGAACCCGCGCTGGCGCACATGGACGCCGTCGTCAAACGTACGATGGCCGCCTGGGCCGACAGCGGTCGCACCGTCACCATAAAATTTCACGCGTTCGCCAGACATATCGTGGACCAAGCCCGTTTCGCGGGCAACCCAGGTTGGACGCACAACTACGCAGATGAATCTGAAAATTCTCATGCCAGGAAAATGTCAGTGAATGTGAACAGGACCAAGTATACAGAGAACGCCGCCGTCAAATGGTACATGAAGCATTTGCAAAAGTGCCATGCCTGAAAATGCAACAATCGTCACCATCACCATCACCACCGTCAAACTCACCGTCACCAACATCACCCTTGCGGTGCCGTGTCGTGCATCGGATTGCGGTGCCGTGTGCGAATGCCGTGCATCGAATTCCGCTCTGTTTGGGGTCGAAGCGCTGTTTGGGGTCTAGCGCTGTTTGGGGTCCACGCACTGTTTGGGGTCCACGCCCAGTGTGTTTGGGGTTGGAGCAGTGTTTGGGTGCCGCACCCGACCAGGGCTAAAACAACACGCTCAACAGCACAACACCCGTGAATAGAACATTGTGGCTCAAGCTCGTGCACGTTCGACGCCGCACCCGCCGCCCTACCCAACGCTTTCGCCCAAGGCGTTCGCCCGAGGCAGGTGCGATGGTTGCGACTGAATACATTGCGGTGTCGGGTGCGACTACGGGCATGCTGAAGCTCAGCATCTACTTCGAGGAGCTGGCGTGTTTCGGGCCAGTGATTGCGGAGGTCGGTACCAACCTGTCGTGGTCCAGCGGCGTCGAGGTGAAGATGATCAAGGAGAGCATCAAACAAGACTACTCGGTGTACGCTGACTGGGATGCGGACATCTACATCTACGGGGCTTCTCAAACCCACCCGACCGTGGCGAAGCACCCGCTGTGGGACGAGTACGTTGTCAACCCGTCCACGTATCGCACGATCAATCTCATCGCATCGAAGAGGTCATTGCTGGACCCTCATGCTGAGAGCATCGTTTCTGGCGTGAACTGCGAGCCCGTCTGGACGTTCACGGTGAAGATTCAGGGGACGGGCGCGTGGGAGTTCATCAAAGTTCCTAACCCTGTGCTGGCTGGTCGCGGCGACTGTGTGTCGTGTGCCGTCCTGAAGACGTGGCTCGTGACCCAGCTGGCACTGCCGAACGGTTTCCAACTAATCAATGACGTGCGCATCTTCCGCAACGACAGCGGGTTGGCCAAGGGCGACCCCCTGGCGGACGATGATGACGTGTGGAAGAATCTCTGGTACTTCGCCATCGTCGACCCGAAGCTCGAGCCCCTTTGCGAGTACCCCGACCACAGCTCGCCCGACTCTCTGGCCAGGGGCTGGAACGACGTGCAGCCGACCACGGAGGCGACGCTCGAGGACGACCTAGACGGGCCGCAATGATTGCATGTGGTGAATGTTTCCCCAACGGCGTTTTTGCGCCTTTGCGCCACGGCTCTGCCGCGTGCGCCCTTGCCCAATGGGGGGGCATCATATTTTACAGCACAACAGGTCGGAGGCGGAGGTGAATACCAATAAAGTAGAAAGGGGATGAGGGATGAGGGATGAGGAGACGAGGAGGGAGAGGAAGAGGAACCATGATGAGGAAGGAGCCAGCCTCACAGGTGCCGACGGGCCAGTGCCATAGCTCAGGAGCGTGAATCCTGTGTACAGCTGTTTCATCGTTCAGACAGTTGTGGATTCCATGGCTCTTCTCGTCGTCTCATCTCCTCCTCATCCTCCTCCTCCTCCTCCTCCTCCTCCTCCTCTTGCCCATCCCCACCCTCTCAATACTATCCCATGGCGCCCAAAATCTGAGGCGCCATTGCACCCGTCATCTGCGATGACGTGAGCGATGACGGGTGACCCCGCCCAACTGTCATCCACCCGCGCCCGCGTGATGCGCGGGCTGGCGCGCGTCGGTGCGGGGTCGCCCGTCGTCGCCCACGTCGGTTCGCACATTGCGGGTGCGACGGCGTCAAGTGTAGCGTGTGTCTCACGTGCACGATTGCACCACATAGATTGCACCACATAGATTGCACCACCGAGTACATAACAATATATCCAGATGACGCCGTTTGGGGTCCAGACTGGCTGCAACACAATACGCTCAAGTCTTGGTTGATCTACCCGACGCCCTACGTCGACACCCTACCCGACGCCATACGTCGACGCATGTGGCGCATTCAAACCCTTAACCCTAAACCCTGAACCCTAAGACCCTGGATAAGAACATGCGACTGGCAACTGATGATGATGATGTTAATGCTGATGATGTTGCTGATGCTGTTGCTGATGATGCTGGTGATGATGATGACCTTCCAACCTTCTGCGCTACCTTCAAGTGCTTGTATCAGGTTAAAGCGAGTGCCAGAAGAACGCAAAGACATTCTGAGACATCGTTCCTTCTCTCCTGTTCCCGCCGCCATCACAGCCTTCACCCTCATCATCATCAGCATCATCATCCTCATCATCAGCATCAGCATCATCATCATCAGCATCATCATCAGCATCATCATCACCATTATCACCATTATCACCATCACCACCACCACCATCACCATCACGTCACGATCATCGCCAGTATTGCACCAGAGTGCTTTACTGCTACTGCATCTCTAGGACGCATCTTCTTACTTAGCTTGTCGTTGAGGACCTGTCTGGGGGATGCGGGGAGGAGCGAGGGGTTGAGGAGGTCGCTCGCTCCGCCCCGCATCCCCCAGACAGGTCCTCAACGACCAGCTAATTAAGAAAATGCGTCCTAGAGATGCAGTGCGCAGTAAAGCACTCGAATGCAATACTGGCGATGATCGTGACGTGATGGTGATGGTGATGGTGATGGTGCTGATGATGCTGATGCTGATGCTGATGCTGATGCTGATGCTGATGATGATGATGATGATGAGGAGGATGATGATGATTGTGATGATGATGATGATGATGATGATGATGCTGATGATGAGGATGATGATGAGGGTGAAGGCTGTGATGGCGGCGGAAACGAGAGAGAAGGAGCGGTGTCTCAGAATGTCTTTGCGTTTTTCGGGAACTCGCTGGAACCTCAAACAATTCGTTATAACCATTGTAAACCTTACGCAATTCAAGATAACTCAGCGTTTGAGGTAGCGCAAGAGGGTGGAAGGTCAGCACGGAAGGTCTGGAAGAATGAGAGGGAGGGACGAGCGCTACCTGGGGAAGAACAAAACGCGTTCGCATGGTCCACGCCTCCGGCGAGGCTCCCGGGCGAATACGTGAAATTGGGGAAACCAGAGGACACCTATACCGCTACTGCCCAGATTTTTGCGGGGTGCGTTCTGACCAGAATGTCGAGGCGAAAAAGCTGCGGCGCCGACAAAGGCCTCCCAGGAGGCCCGAACAGGGGGAAAACGAGGGAGGGGTAGCGGTATGGGTACCCGCTCCTCCTCTGAGTGATATCCGCCCATGGGCCAGTCGCCCCTGTTCGTCGCCTCCAATCCTCCAGCTCCGGCAGGTGGGGCCTCTCGGGCACGGGCCGGAAGGTAGGCTGCAGGAGGGCACCAGCTACACGCCCATACGGCCAATCTTGGACATCGCGGGTTCGAAGGTGGGGTAGTGATGGATGGGGGCCCAGGGACAGGAAGGGATCCAGGGGTGGATATACTAGGCGGCGAGCCAGGGGGGGAAGTGAGAAGGGGCGTACCTTCTCTGAAGGCTCGGAAGTCCCCCGGACTTCTGAGAAGTTTTCTAAGACTTCCCCGAAAACAGAAAAAACTTCTCAGAAGGCGCGAGGGCTTCTGAGAAGTCCCGCCGCCGCCTTCTGAGAAGGCCTTCTCCTTCTCAATTCCCCCCCTCGCTCGCCGCCGATACACGTCGTCTGCGGCACCTCGTCCTCGGGACCCAGCCCCGAGGACCCCCTCGTTCACCACCGAGGCGAGGACCATCCTCGGGCGGGTGGTGCTGGGGGCTGACGACTTCCAGGCGGGGGGGAGGGAGGGCGGGAGCCCAGAGGGGCGCTGAGGGGCCCAAGCTGCACGCAAGAGTGCCCCCAGACAAGAGTGACCTGTGGTGCGCGACTTTCGGGAGCCGCGGGGAGGCCGAATCGGAGCGCGCAAGCCGATCCTATCGCTCCGCATTCAGGGATCTAGTGACCCCAACTTCGTCACTCCTGAGAAAGGTCACTCTTATGCATCGCAGAAGGATCGGCGGATGCACACGCCCTCTCCAGGCCTGGGCCCAGGACGGAGCATGAAGAAGGCGCCATCCCAGGCCTGGGACCGGTGCACTTGTACAAGTCGGAGCGGATCGGAGAGAACACGCGAGAAGGCAGAAGTAACCAGCCTCGAACTTATCTAAGGGCGCCTAACGTCGTGCTTCGCGCTGCGCGAAGCACGAATCAGTTCACGCTCTGGAGCAGCCCTCCAGGGGAGGAGAGGAAGGTGAGGAAGAATCGGAGCCGAACCGCGAAGCGCGAATAACTTCGCGCCCTCGAGGGCACTTGTTGCCCCTATCCCTAAGATCGGCAAACCCAAGACGATGGCAATCTAACGGAAGTGCCCTCAGAAACTGAGGGACCCCCGGGAACGGCACCGAGGTGAGGCGATGCCAAGCATAGATGGCCAGGGACAGGCCGCAAGCTGGTAAGCATAATCCTTCCGAGCGCCACGCTGCCACAGCAGTGCAGGAGTCACGCGCCGCAAGACACGGGACACACCAAGGGTGCCCTTGATCAGGCAGGGCGAACCTACTCCTACAACGTGGCGGCCTGTCCTGCTCCCAGGGCACCCAGGTGGGGCTTGTCCTCCTACAGGTGGAGTTTGGAAGTACGTTTAGACATGCCCAGAACATGCTCAAACATGGTCGGCAAAACATCGAAACGCGTCCCCGCACTGAGTCTTTACTGTCTTTGCTTTGCACTTCCACCCTGCCATCCGAGGGGCACAGCCCGACGCAGACCTCGCAGCCGGCCCCGACTGTGCAGCTGGTGCCCTCCGAGGCTGCGGCGCGCCTGGCGCCGAGCCGGCACGCGCGCGGCCGAGGGGGCGCGCCTCCTCTGACGACCTGCCAGGCCCCCGACCCAGGCCAGGGCCTCGGGCGGGTGGTGGGGCTGGACCTCAGTGGGCCCTGGAAACGACAGGGCCGTCTTTGTTACCGGTTCTGTATTGCCGTTTTCTTGCCGGTTCCGACGCCGTGTTTTCTCCGGTTCCGCCGCCGTTTTCTGACCGGTTCCGGCTCCGGTTCCAATCCTGGAGCCGTTTTTTTGCCGTTTCCGGTCGCCGTTTGTTTGCCGTTTCCATTTTCGAGGGACATTTTTTTGGAAGCGGTGAAAAAACGGCCCTGCCGTTTCCGGGGACCACAAAGGGCTGGACCCAAACGCCGTGTTTCGTTTTGTGTTTCGATCTGTGTTTTGTCTTGCTCTGCCTGCTTTCCTGCACCAATCTGCCAAGAAGCGAAAGACAGAACACAGCCGAAGTCCAGCAGAACAGCGTTTAGGTGCAGCCCTGGCGGGTGGCCGGGGGGGGCCCAAATGAAGGGTGACGAGAAGGTCCCTAGGAGGGGTGACCTAACAAGCCCCTTTCGGAGCCCGCCAGCGCCTTTTGGGGCGCCTTTCCTCACCCCCCGTGTGGGTCACCCCCCAGTGCCACCCGCTCCGGGAGTCCCCGTCGGGCTCGTCGATTCCCGGAGGCGGGCACTCCAGAACGTGGAGGAAGCACGATGGCACCCGCACGCCCCCCATCCCGCGATTCGGGACGGTCTGGGGCCGTCGGGTCGGGTGGGGGGGGGCTGCCGGCGGCGCGCCCCCGGGGGGGGATGAGGAGGAGACAGCCTTCTCGGAAAGTTCGGAAGTCCTCCAGCATTCTGAAAGGGTGTTCTGACACCTCCCCGAGGACACAGGACCACTTCTCAGGAGGCGCGAGGCCTCCTGAGAGTCCCTGGTCTCCTTCTGAGAAGGCCTTTTCCTTCTCACTTTCCCCCCCTGGGCGCGCCGCCGGATGTCGGTCAAAATCGGTCCCCAGACCCCTCCCAGGGTCCATCCGACGCTGTGTTTGAAGGGGCCCTGGGGCACAAAAATAAATACACACAAATAAAACTATTCCCCATGTTTTCTGGGTTTTTGTCCTCCCCCCCACTTCCAATATTTTCCTATATTTTCTGGGGGGTCGACGATTACTTGCGTCTGTGTGGTTTTTTTTCCCTCCTGACAAATGTCGGTCAAAATCGGTCACCAGACCCCTGCCAGGGTCCATCCGACGCTGTGGTCCACGCCGGATCGAGTTTCGGTGGTCCCGGGTCCCCGACACGGCCCCCGCAGAGGCCGAGAAAGCAACTACAGAAAGCCGCCTCGAAAGCCGAACCTCGAGGCTCGAACCTCGAAGGCCCCCTCCTCCTCCTCCTCCTCCTCCTCCTCCTCCTCCTCCTCCTCCTCCTCGTCCTCCTCGTCCTCCTCGTCCTCCTCGTCCTCCTCGTCCTCCTCGTCCTCCTCGTCCTCCTCGTCTCCTCGTCCTCCTCGTCCTCTCCTCCTCGTCCTCCTCCTCCTCCTCCTCCTCCTCCTCCTCCTCCTCCCCCTCCTCTCTCCTCCCGTTCCTCCTCCTCCTCCTCCTCCTCCTCCTCCTCCGCCTCCTCCTCCTCCTCCTCCTGCTCCTCCTCCTCCTCCGCTTCCTCCTCCTCCTCCTCCTCCTCCTCCTCCTCCTCCTCCTCCTCCTCCTCCTCCTCCCCCCTCGCTCGCCGCCGAATCTGGGACCTTCGGGTTGGGTGGGGGTGGCTCGGCAACGCCAATTTCTGGTGGGGAGCACTGCAGAACCTTGAGGAAACACGATCTCGTGTTTGATAACTTTTTGTTCCCAGCCCTCCTGCGTTGGGTACTCGTTTTGAATAAAGCACTGTGGTCTCCACCCTCCTCCTCCTCCTCCTCCCCTCCCGCCCCCCCCCTCTCTTCCCTCCTCTTTTCCTCTCGTGCGTGCCTTCTCCTCCTCTCTTCGCTCCCCCTCTTCTCTTCTCTTGCCTTTCACGTCGTCCCTGGCGGGCTGCGATCTGCGGAACGGTCACCATTTTCGAGGGCTGCTGGTGGGTCCAGCGGAGTGAGGCACCACGGGGACTCAGATTAGACCTCGCCATCCCAGGGGGGGGGGGCTGCGATCTGTGAAACTGTCGCCACTTTCGAGGGCTGCTGGTGGGTCCAGCGGAGTGAGGCACCACGGGGACTCATATTAGACCTCGCCATCTCTGGGGGGGGGGGCTGCGATCTGTGAAGCTGTCACCACTTTCGAGGGCTGCTGGTGGGTCCAGCGGAGTGAGGCACCACGGGGACTCCGATTAGACCTCGCCATCTCTGGGGGGCTGCGATCTGCGAAACTGCCGCCACTTTCGAGGGCTGCTGGTGGGTCCAGCGGAGTGAGGCACCACGGGGATTCAGACTAGACCTCGCCATCTCTGGGGGGCTGCGATCTGTGAAACTGTCGCCATTTTCGAGGGTTGCTGGTGGGTCCAGCGGAGCGAGGCACCACGGGGACTCAGATTAGACCTCGCCATCCCTGTGTGAAACTGTCGCCACTTTCGAGGCTGCTGGTGGGTCCAGCGGAGTGAGGCACCGCGGGGACTCAGATTAGACCTCGCCACCCCTGGGCGGCTGCGATCTGTGAAACTGTCGCCACTTTCGAGGGCTGCTGGTGGGTGGCTAGCGGAGTGAAACGCCACGGGGACTCAGATTCTGACCACGAGCAATGCTCGCGTGCGCTTGCTCTGCGGTTCGCGCCACGTGGCGCTGCGACTCGAGCTGGCGGTCGTCCTTCGGACCCGCAGAAACATCTGCTGAGCTCGATGAGCTAGGGGAACTACAAGAAAGAAGTGCAGGAAACGGAGGCCGGTCATGCGCTCGCCGATACCTCGTTGCTCTGTCATCGTCTTTGCTGTTGCATGATCCTTATCTGGCCTGCCGGCGCCGCGGCTCGAGCTGGCGGTCGCCCTTCGGGCCCGCGGGAACATCTTCTGAGACAAGTGGACGCCGCCGCCTTACTTGCAGGCAGCGCATTGCATTCGCGGACAGCAGCATGGCAGACCGCAGTGAGATCCTCAGTCGCGTGGTGTTGCCAAGCCTGGTGGAGACGCGCGTGATCGACCTGAAGTCCCAATCGCGCGTGCACTGTACCTGCGTGGCGTTCAGGCACGCGCGTGATGCTGCTCGCTCCGCGTTCAACCAGTACGTCGCCAGTGCAACTTTGGACGATGGACAACCGATTGATGATACGCGACCCCGGCCTTGAGTTTCTTTCCCGCGGGCCGCCCGCAGACCTGGCGGCGCGCCTGCGAGCGTTCAGCTCCCGCGCTGAAATGTGCGGGAAGGAGGCGGAGAAGCTAGCGGGCGAGCTACGCCTCGCTCGTTCCTTGCACTCTAAACAAGTTTTATCATGTGGAACTCTGCGACGACATGGCGCAGGCAGCGCTGCGGGTTTAGCTCGCACTTGAAAAACGCGGCAGTCTTCTGTCTCCTCCCGCCACTTTCATCGTCGTCCTATTCCCCGCCTCACCTTCTCCATGCATGCTGCTGCTTCCGCGATGGCCTTTCGCCCCCCCCCGCCCTCCATTCCATCCCTCTCCTACCCCTCGTTCCCGTACCCGTTCTTCTTCGATCCTGGGGCCTCAAGCCTCGTTCTTTCGATCGTCGTCCTGTGAATCGTGCAACGCATGCGCATCCCATGTAGCTTGCGCAGCAAATCGCCGCGTCTACACTGTCGCTGTTCCTGCTAATGTTGGCATACTCCTCTTGCCATTTGATGCACGTGGGTTGGGTACGTCGCAGGGTATTTTTTTTGATAACTTGTGCTGTCCAGGGGCAACGGTGTAACATAGCGGATCTATAGGGATGGCACCCATAGGCCCTCCAACCCAAAATGCGAGGTAATTCTAACAGGTTCCGATGCCGTCACTCCCTGGACCTCTCCTGGGGTGC